AATGTGTAGTATCATATGTGTAACACTGCTACACATCCTCATGCTAGAGGACAATTTGAATCTGGGTGTTGTGGGCTTGTTTAAATAATGTTGGACAAACATACATTATTAATATATAATAATTTTATATACTACCACAGGATCACTTACATTAAAGACAGGCAGGCAGTCTAGGGGTACATACCCAGCTCGACTCCCTATTAGTTATATAATCTTGGCAAATAATAGAACCATTGTGAGGTTTTAATTTGTCTTGTCTACAATGAAATAAAAAATATGAGATCACTAACAAGAGGGTTTTAAAAGCAACTACTTAAATAAATATAACAAGATAGAAATCTAAGGTATATACAGACATATCTGCATGTATGGCAAAATCCTTTTAATAAAATTTTAGTGTTCTTTCTGCCAAATCAATTTTCAATATTAACTCTTCCTTTTCCCAAATAGTGTACAGTTTGTATAAATGGCCTAAATACTTATTGCTAATTGAAAACGTGGGAAGAAAAGCCTGGTGATGTACTTTAGAAAATAAGTCCCTGAAAACCCAAAACCCCTAACTCCACTCACAGAAACATAGCATCACCATGAGTTGAAATCATTTCACCTGATTACTAGTTTTCATGTCAGATGTTGTTTCAGGGTATTCTTTTAAGTGAAGTGAAGCTAACCTATGTATCATTTTTCTAAAATTTGGTCATTAATATCATATTGATTAATCCTGAAATTAAACAGGAGTGAAACTTCTGATTGCACCTTTTAAAATTATTTGAAAAAGAATATAGAGTTACAAAATTAAGAGGTTGTCTTATGGAGAGATATTTAAATTTAATTACAGGTAAATTGATTATTCAGAGAAAATCTCCTGATGTTCTATTTTGACTTTTGTATGGTTAACTGTATATCCTCAGCAATATTTCTCCTTCAGAGATTTCATATGTAATTCATCTGCAACAACAATAGTTTCCTAAATTTTATTCAGTATTATATATAGTTATTATTTGCTGTTAAGGGTACCAACCAGTGAAAGAAATCAATTCTGTACCTTTTTATTACGCATTTTGTATGGCCAGAAGGGATATTGTCTTTTCTGCGTCTTTCTTTTTTTTTTTGTTATTGAAATTTTCAGGGCTCAGAAGCTCCTCTTTCTTGTAGCTCATGTTTTCAGGATCATTTTATCATTTGAATTGTTCTCCATTGAAGACTTGGCAATCTGTCTCTTTTCTGAAAAGTGGCTTTCTGCTGAACTTAGTCTACGAATCACAGCCTAACAAGATCTGAATGTAGCTCAATTCATTTTTATGCATGACATCACCATTACAATTCAACACACTATAACATTTGAATATTTTAACAGGGATCAGAATGTCGACTCATTCAATTTATCATCTACTGTAACCCATGAATTTTTATCTCTGCCGCTACCATCCCTTTCAATTCATTGCACTTTGTGGTGCCATTTAGCCTTTGCTGCATCAACATTCCATTTCATTGTCCTGATTCTAGCACCACAGATTCTGTCCAGTTCTCCAATGTATCAAGATTAGGCATCATTGTAACACAACATCCTAAACACTTGCAATCCCTGCTACTCCCATGATTCATTATTCTCCAGATTTTTTAGCATAGATATATATCAGAATACTTTCACAATTATGTTGTTGTTGTTATTAGGTTCCACTGAATTATTTTCTATTCACAGAGACATCATATGATGAATACCTCTAACTGTTTTTTTTCCTGTCTAGAATCTATGGAAGCAAATCGCTAGGTCTTTCTCCCACAGAACTTCTAGGTGCTTCTGAAACACGACACTTTCAGTTAGCACTGGAGAACGTACCTGGATATTACCCATATTTTTACAAATAAAATCATTTTTGCAGTTATCCTTTTTAAAAGTTCAACAAACAAAAAAAAACAACAAACAAACAAGACTGATGTGATGCTTCAAGTATATTTGAAAACAAACCACACCCTTCTCTTGACTGACTCAATTTAAACTCAGCACCAGCATCAGCGTTCTATCATTGCTTTATTAAACTGTCATCCCCAAAATCACAGATTGAACTTCTGATCTTCACACAGAGGTAGCTCAGTGGGTATTCAGTGGCCTCGCTGCAGGAGGTCACTTGTATATGCTGAGGCATGTCATTTGGATGGTTGAACAATTGTTATTAGAGGCAGTTAGCTTCACTTAGCATGTGTACTTGCCTACTTACAAAAGCAGGCAAATATTAAAATGATGAAAGAAACAAGGGAAAGAAAATTTTCAAGCATTTGACTTAAACTTAAGTATTTCACCATGAATAAACTGCAATTATCAAAACTGAAATGAGCTGACATCTTATATATAAACTCTCATTTAAAAAGGTATTGCAAAAGTGATGAGTTTTGAAGTTCAAAAACCCACTACATTTATTAGATAAAACATTAATCTCTGTGCTTTCCCTTTGAACAGAACCCCTACTTGGTCACCTCAGACATGTAACACTTTAAAGAGATTCTGAGTTTTTTTTCCAGATCACTACAATAATTCCAGTATATTAATAATGTGAGACATAGGAATTTTTGCACTGCCAATCCAAAGGCAAGTAGTTTGAATCCATCAGGTGCTCCATGGGATAAAGATGGGCCATCTGCTCCCATGCAATATATTGCCTCTGAAAACCCAGTAAAGAGTCAACTATGAGTTAGTTCTGACTTGACAGCACATAGTAACAACATATTGGATTGTTGAATGTGCAACAGCAGTATGAAGAAGATATCAAAGTTGAGATTTAACAAAATGCAACACAAAGGGAGCACATCCTATTAGATAAAACATCATCAACTGACTTGCTCCAGAATTGTCACAAACTTACTCGTGAAAATCATATTATATCTGGAGCACAATAAGCAAAGTGTAATCAAGTGAGGTGTGCCTGGATTTACAAACAGTGCTTCTAGCCTCCAGCCCTGCTTTGTTCAGCTACCCAACTCTTACTCTCAAAAGTCAAAGTATAATTTGCAAAGAGTATGCCATCCATCCTTTATGTTTATACTCTGTTTTGTGATCAACTGATGCTTTATTGTAATATGATGTGTTTATAATGTCATCTTGTTTAATTTTAAGCTCTACCTTTTCTTTCAGTTTTGCTGTCTGGGATTGAGAATTGCTAAATAAAACATTTCAAAACTAATACTTTTACAATAATTATAAAGAGACCGCTAAAGCAATGATGTAAAAATCCAAATTTAATAAAACGACACAATCATTTGTTAACAAGATTAAATTCTTTAAACGGTTAAAAATGCAAGTATCTCATCATATTACAATATGCTTAAAATTATTAAAAATTTAAAACATGTAAAAATGGTAACAACAGTTTTCAGCTCTGGAAAAGTGTAATATATTGATTTTGAATAAGTTCTTGCTTTTATAATCTAATAATAAATCCATGTCTGAATTGAAAGGGATAGTAAGAATTAGGAAAAATTTCATTTGACATTTTTAGGTAAAATATGATAGCTTTTAGAGGCTTAGAAACAATAGTGATTAGGAGAGGGGTTTTTTAAATGTTTTTTTCCTTATTGTTCTAGAAGAGACTGAAAAGGCATTCTATTCAAGGCATCAAGTATATGATGGATCAACTGAGAGATGATGGTATTAAAATATTTTCCTTCTAGTACAAGGCCAGAAACAATTAACTTAACTTAAAGGGCAAATAGGAAAATGCTATAGGATATGATATATTATGACAAATTACTCAATATTGCAGTGAAATTTTCCCTCAGTGACCTTTAAAACAGAATAGCTACCCTTTGATCTGAAGTCACTTAGATAATAAATTTAATAATAAGTAACTGTTGACAAGAGAAATACCAGCTTGTGCCATAGTAGGTTACTGTGTGGGTTGCAATAATCATTTAGGACAAGTCCCTGCATTTATTGTCCACAGGGTCAGGACAAACACACTGTGACTCTTAACATAGCAGCATCTACACAAACTGTCCCTTAGCTGGTGTTCCTGCCCTCACGATGGCAGTTAAAAGCATTGGCCAACCAACCACTGGAGAGGCTGTCTGTTTATTCTTCAACGTGCAAAAGAAATGGAATAGGACAGTCCACTGACACTTAGAAAGGCTTACAGTAAACTCTAGTGGATAAGGAGTGACACCACCTACTCAAAGGAAGGAGTTCAAGTCCACCAGGTGCTCAAATGGCAGAAAAGTGAGCAATCTCTTCCTGTGTGACATATAGCCTCTGACAACACACTGGAGGGTCAGTTATTGATTGATTCCAACTTGACAGCAATGAATTTTGATTAAAAAGGTTTAAAACTACATATATATATATATATATATATATATATAGTTTAAAACTATAGCAAGAAGAAAACTTGTGTGTGTATATTAAGTTTAGTGTTCTTCTCATTAATATTAACAATTGACATTTAGTATATTCTTCTCAAAAGTAATTTACATTAAATAACCTTAAGTGCATGATACTATTGAAATTCTGTGTTATGAAATTTCTAGATAAAATACTAGTTCAAGGTCACTGGCGAGGGCCACTGAAAGAGTAAAAATTGCCTTTCATAACCTTTTTTATTTTCATTTATTAAAATGCTATCATTGCTTATGCTATTTTGGCTATTATAGATGTTAATAACTGGTTCTGAGAAAAAAATTAGCATAGGTTTTTTTTCAGAGCATCTTAAAGTGCTTGTCTTCAATTTTGTTTGCCCAGAATGATGGTCAAGTTGTCAAAACTTGAAACAAGCTGGCATCTTATGTAAGAAGAATAAGGCAAACATGAAGAAAGCCTAACATTTGAAATATTCCAAAATAACTACATTGTTGCTTTCTTACGCTTGACTCTTAAGCTGTGAATCTGAAATAATATTTCACAGTGATATTTTTCCTCCTTTTTTTCAAGAGTTGATCAATCAAATATATCTACTGTGAATCCGAAAACAAAGTTAAATCACATGAGAGATAAAGGATTTGTTTCCCCTTACCTATTCCTATTGCTGGAAATCCAATCTGATATAAGTGTCGATGCCTGTTGGTGACAGTGTTTGTTGCCAAAACTGCACGCCAGCATAATAACTTCCCTTCGTAGTTCCCTAAATATCAATAAAGGGAAAGGGGGTGAGTGGAAAAACAGTGTTACTATTCTAAAAGAAAGTCAGGGTAACTCACTACATAAATAGTTGCTTAGAAAATAGCATGAAAAGTTATATTTTCCATCCTGAAATTATATACTGCTGATTAACAGATCATCAGGCAGAGTGGAAGTTACTGAATGATACATCAGCTCTGGAAACAGTGCAACAGTGAAGGACAGGGGTTCAGATCTTAGCATCATTAATTAAGGTAAATCTTACATTAAACATGACAAAGGAATGCCTTTGTTCTTAGTATCAAGGGTTAGGAACTGACAACTCAGCAGTAATCCTCCCAAGAAAGGAAAACGAAAGAAAGATTGTCTTGTGCTGCTAATGTCACAATGATACCAGCAGTATTTTATCGAATAGCTCCAGGGAGAAAGAAGAGAATAAGAAAGTAAAACAGTACTCATGTTGGTAAGATGCTTGAACAAGGGATCCATTAAAATTATTTTTTGGCCATCCAAGCTTGATGTACGTTGTTGCAACTTGCTTTAAAATATATTCCTAAATGGGAAGAATAGGAATAAAAAAAAAAAAGATAACCACAATGTTAAGCTTCTCCCGGCTGATGACAAAAACCTTTAATAATCAAATGTATTCTAAGGAGATCTACTCCTAAACAGCAGTAAAAATATAAGCACAGTAATTTTTCATTCTGATTTTATTTAACATCTTATTCAGAGTTGGTCAATATGGATATAATACTATTGCTTTATTTCCTATTGAAAAATTGATTAAAATTAATTGACTGTTTTCCCCCACAAAAAACCCTTTAGGAAATATGGGATTTTGATTAATGACATCAATGTATGCATATATACAAACTTATGTCAAATATTGCTTATGAGAAGGATATATAATATTTATACTTTATTTCATTAAAATACATTTTAAAAAATTATCATGCAGACCAGCCAATAATGTAGAATTGATGAAATGACATACAGAGTACTCTTCACTATAATGATATGGTATTTCAGAGGCAACAATCCATTCAGCTAATGATATATTTAAATATCAGAAGCAATATCAAATGTACTCTCCTTTAATTTAATGGGATCCTTGAATTTTGTGAAAAGGAGAGCATTGAAATTACAATAAAGGCAATTTCCTACTTTTACTAAAAATGAGATTCTTGACATCATGTACTATTATAAAGCAAAAGATATTAAAAAAATTATTTGACTTTCACAGAAGTTCAATATTGAAGTGTATTTTATGTTAGGAAAAAAGTATCATTTGTCATTCTCTAGTGGGTAAAATTTATCCAATAACTGAAATGACACATTTTTTGCACATCTGTTCTAAGGGTTTAGATAAAATTAACAATGAATTGCTAAACCATAGTTGTTCTTCTTAAGTTTTTATTAAAACAGAGGCACTTTCATTTAAACTTAGGATAAAAAAGAAAGAAATTCTGATTATGGTCAGACATTTTTGATGGCTTTAATAATCAGATTTCATGCCCATGTAGTTTGCAAATGTGTAGGCTAATTATTATAGCCAGTTTGTGATATGAAATAAGATAGTTTTCTAAGACCCAGGGCAGACTTTTAAAAATAACTAAAGAATAGTAAATAATGAACAAAGGTGACAAAAAAGCAGAGGAAAATATTTTCTTATGCAAAGCCTCCTGGCTGATAAGAAATTTAGAAATCAAAAGCTCATTAACAGTACTTAATCCTAATCTTATTGAAATGATTGTCAGATTAGTAAGTGTCAGCAGTGCAATTTTGGTGTACCAGGCTTCAGCATTAGGAATTCTGGTCAGGTAACATCTTCAAATGTTTGTCATGTCCTCATGTCTATTTGGATTATCTGTTTGCTCTCCTGTATCCCCTTGGACCCAATTATGAATGGGCTTTTGCCTCAATGCTGATCTTATCCTTGTTAATTAAGGAAGTGAATTGAATTCACTGTGCCCTTTTGGATAAAAATAATGACTAAGTCTCTTTACTGAAACTGTCTATATTCTGTTAAGATCTTTGGGATCCCTCTACCCAGGTTAAGTCCTTTGTGAGCACAGAGCCCTTTAACTACTGGAAAGTAAGTTTGAACTTCAAGGATTTGCCATGTATATTTGCTCTTAAAGTCTGAAGCATTTAAACACAACTGACTCTTGTGTAACAAAAGAGCAAAAGGTAGCTTTTATAAAATTTCTTCTTCAATAAATTTTCCTTAGTTTGGGACATAACAATCAGGACCCAAACAACACCACAAATTAGAAAAAGAAGCTAAAACAAATTTGGTTCAGTTGAATATAGAAAACCAAAAAAAAAATTATTTATCATCTGAAAATAAGAAAGAAAAGTATACAAATTATTACATTGAAGATATTGTAGTTCTCCATGCGGTCCAGTAATTTGTCTAGAGGATAAAGAGCTCGGCTGGCAGCGTGCCAAGGAAGAAAATCTTTTTCCTCAGACAGGTATCTGATGATCTCCAGAGGAATATTCTGAGGCAAGTAGCCAGCTCTGCACAGTCAGAGAATATAATGTTAATTATATGCAGAAATGATACAGGAAGATGCAAAATGAAGATTTTTTCTTATGCAAATAAAGACAAGAAGCAAGATTCCTCACAGTCTACAGAAGTTATACTTAATGCCTAAAAGTAAAATTACTCACTTGATATATTTTTATATATTCCTACTTAAGACACCAATGCTCCTTAAAATATACCATTTGAGTGTTAAAATTCATGTACATGAACACAAAAATATTACAAACTGTATTTTCCAAAAAGAAAAAAGTTGTAAATATGAAAAAGTAATCAATCCTGGCTATTTTTCTTCACAGAAATTCTTCAGAGGTCAAAGAATGGAAAAAAAAAATCATTATTGAGTTTAAATTTTAGTTTCTCTAAGTATTCCCTTTACTTTTAATGAAGCTCTATGTACTGTCTTAATGCAGATTGTTTTCAAAAGAATGATCAAATTAAATCAAAATTTGACCCTTAGAAAAGAAGCATTTCTAAACAAATAAAATAAACAACAACTAAACATTGTTTCCAATAACATCTAGAAAAATCAGAATTAAAGTTCTAATAACAAAGATATTTAAAAGAATATGCCCTTTCCTTTTTATTATTTTCTTTTCAAACAAGACATCATGTTTCTGTGGGGTACAGCCAATGTAGGAGTTCTAACTATTTAAAATAATCCTAATAAATTATCTTAATATTTAAAATGCCCAAAAAGTAAAAATAAGAGGCAAAGTAAAATGCCTATCTTTTCCAGTGATTAATTATAAACTTACAAAATCAAAGCAATATAAATGACAATTCAAATTACATTATAAAAGGTCTTGAGCTTGCTCTCAATACAATGTATTTTCAGTATTTTTAATATTAAACCAAATTACTGCAGATGTTTAACCCTATAGCAAGGGGGGAAAGTAACCAAAGCTTAGTTATATTACTTACAATTCCACTTTTTTTCAATGAAGTATCACAAAATAAAACATGTTTGTGTTTTGTATATGGTAGACAAGAAGGAAGCAAAACTATCCTAATCTTGATTTAAAAGAAATCTGCCATATTATTTAGTCTTTCCTTAATGTGATTTGTAAATATTACCTTACAGCTGTGTTCACAACAAAAGCCAGTTCTGAAGACTATGCTTCAGGGGAAACAGATGAGAGACAGAACTGTTTAAGAGCGATACACGATCAGGTATTATGGTCATGACTAGAGTCCAGAATGAAGGCTGCATAGTGGAGTGAACTCAGGGGTCGGGATGGGGGAGGACTGTATACCAATGAAAGAATTTTTCTTTTACTTTTCAAAGAGAAGAGCAAACTGGGGGGTAGGGGTGGGCAGGGAGAAAAAGGAAACAATGAATGAATAGAAATCCAAAGTCTCTGTAAACATTCATTAAAATTAATAATAAAAAATAAAAAAATAATCATACTAATGATTTTGTTTCACTCATGGTGAACCACAGAGAACTGAGCTGCTAACCTAAAGGTAACCAGTTGGAATCCCAAGTAGTCCCAGAGGAGAAAGGTGGACAATCTTCTGTGTGGTTTACAGCACTGGAGAACTCAATGAAGGGTCAACTATGAATTGACTCCAACTCCAGGTCTGATTTATAGTACAGCTAGATGTGGGCCATTTTTCTTGTAGTTTCCAGTATGGAAAACATTATTATTATTATTTTTTGCTAGAGTACTGTTTCAATAATGCAGTTTAATTTCATTTTCTAAGGTTTGCTGCCCACAATATAGCTATTTTTGAAATACTGCTAATTTTTAATAGAAATAATTTTATTTTCTTATTGTTGCTATTGTTATGTGCTGTTGAGTTGCCGGTGACCCGTAATGTACATAGTGACAATAGATCTGAACCTATCCTCAGCCAGTTTCACTGACTCTGACACACCTACTCCCATTACTCCAGTTTCTGTATCAGTCCATCTCATCTGGGGTCTTTCTCTCCTCTGCTGCTCCTCTATCCTTATGAGAAGGATGTCTTTCTCCAAGGACTCGTCTCTTCTGGTCACATGCTCAACGTATGTGTGAAGGAGCTTTAAAATCCTAGTCTCCAAGGGGAGACTTGGTTTCACCCTCTCCAAGACAGACCTTTAGGAGAAATTTATTGTCAAACATTTTATATTTTGTCTTTAATATGTCTCTTAGAGCTTTTAATTTTAAATACTGATTAACATGCTGGCTATAAACTTGACTTCCCTGAAAATTTGCCATGGGTTCCAGAACACTCACTTAAATCTCACTGTCACTGAATGGGACTAACTCATAGCCGATCCCTCATTGGGTTTCCAAGACTGTAAAATGCACGAGAGGGAAGGAGTCAGAAGCTCCGGTGGATTGAAATGACCATGTCACAAAAGCTCCTTTATAAAAGGAATATATGATTAGGTATTATCGGCATGACAAGAGTCCAGAATATGGGTTGCATAGTAAAGTGGTGGTGGTGGGGAACCATATAACAATGAAAAAACTTTTTTTCTAAAGAAAAAGCAAACGGGGGGGGGGGGCAGGTCAGAAAATGTGTAACAATGAATGAATGGAGATCCAAGTTCGTTATAAACATTCATTAAAATAGAAAAAAAAGAACATCAGAATTTTTAAAAAGATCTAGAAGCTGTTTTTCTCTTTTTCTTGCTGAAGAAGTACAAACATATTTTTTACAAAAAAAAATCTTTAGTAATGATCAATTATTATGGATCTTCAAATCAGTTCAGAAAATCCAAAAAGTTTAGGCTTATTTCCCCATAAATTTAATCATAATACTATTATGTCAGTGACAGTGTTTCTTCATTTCCATAAATGAATAAAAATATTAAATAACATTGTCTATAAGCAATAATGGTACAAATATAAAAAATAATAAGGGAACAGAAGTGGACTTGAAAAGAAAATGGACCTGCCTCTCTCATTTATACTCTGTGCAATTAGGGGGGAAAAAATCAATCGCTCCTGGTTTCACTTTCCTCTCTGGTGAAATATGAAGATTTAACTAGGAGGCTTATTTATTTAGCCCTTACAACCTTTTATTCTAATTTTTTTATTTATAATTTAGTAGGTTGATAAATAATTGCACTAAGATGGGTATGACTTCTTTGTTAAAACCTGAAAATATTTTAAAAATTATTTCTAATTTTTATTCATTCATTTTTCCACATTTTCGCCCCTTCCCCTCCTTTCCTCCTTTCCCAGTCCACTTTGCAATGCACCTCTTGTGTCAGATTCCTGCCATATGTATGGTACCTAATTATATATTCCTTTCACGCAGTTCTTCCCCTTATCTGTTTCAATGCAATGTTCATTATCTATCCATTCCTATTCTTTCCCTAGCCCCCAACATTTGTCCTGTTTTATAACAGTGGCGTTATGCAATATTTGTCCTTTTGTGACTAAGCTATTTCTCTCAACATAATTTCCTCTAAGCTACTCCATGTTGCGTAATGTTTTACAAGTTCATTGTTTTTCAATGCTGTGTAATGTTCTATTGTGTGAATGTATCATAGTTTGCTTATCCATTTGTTTGTTGGAGGACACAGGTTGCTTCTCTCTTTTTGCTGTTGTGAATAAATCAGCAATTTATTCAATTTATGGGTGTGTGTTTGAGTTATGGTTCTGATTTCTTTAGCTGAAAAATACTTTGAAATTTCATATTGCCAATTTAATATATAAAGTCTAAGACATAGGTCTTGGTCTAGATTTGATAGCATTTGTCTATTAGGTGGGGTGCTAACCTAAAGGTTATATCTGTCTAATGGTTTGAAGACACCAATTTCTTTGTGGGAGAAAAGTGGGTAATCTCAGCCTGTGCAATTAGCAGTATTGAAAAATTCACAGAAGAGTCAACTCACACTTGACAGCAATGAGATGATTTTGTTTTAGTTGAAACAGTGAAGAAAACAAAACCAAACCTGGTAAAAGTATAAAATGTAATAAGAATTTACTAATTTACTAGCAGAGGCATGAGCTTTCCTCACCTAGAACAGAGAGTTAGTTGTGTTGTTATCCCAAAGACTGCATATCTGGCAGTTTGAATCCACCAGTGATTCCAAGGCAGTCTTTTCCTGTAAAACTTACAGCCATGACTCAATAAAGAATCAGCCATGAGTTAGTAGGAACTAAACAGCAATGAGAAGCAGAGGAGTGGCTTTTGTTGTTGTTGTTGTTGTTGTTGTTTTAGTCTTTGTATCAGAAATTGCTAAAGGTTAACAAAATTCATACTCTTCTACCAAGCTTAGACTGTGATTCCACGTTGTTTCTAATGGGCTCTGCATAAGTGGAGAGGGGGATACTGTGCAGCAGAAAGAAATTTTGCCTTGAAGTCTATTAGTCTGATACAGTGCGGCAGGCTCTCACCTTCTAGCTCTATGTATTGTTACTGCTACATACTATTAAGTCATAGCTGACCCTCCAGCAGGTTTTCAGAGGCAGTAATTCCCCTTGGAGGAGATTGGCCATCTTTTTTGCCACAGAGCAGCTGGTGGTTTTAAATTGTTTGCCATTGGGTCAGCAATGCAACTTCTTATCACTAAGTACTGGTGATAATAGTCTATTGTGATTTAGGAACTTTTCAATAGTCAATTTTACATAAGAGATCGCCAAGCCTATCCTCTTAATCTTAATTTGGAAACTTCTCTGGAACTTGTCCTCATGGATGACTATGTTGCTTTTTAAAATGATGGTGATATCACAGCAACATGCAAGCCAGCACATTAGGACATGCTGGCAGATGGGTCATAGTTTCCTGTAGTTAAGATTTTGCCATATATCTAAGAACTAGCCAGTAGAACATGATTATGCCTCACTCCATGAGGAGTCTTCAGAAATACCACCCAGCGTTCTTCTAGAACCTTTCTTTCTGGAATGAAAGTTCTAGGGTGACATTTAAAGTCTTGAATTGAATATTTCATTAATTCTACCATTTGGTTGCTGGTTGCATAGCAAAGCTATCAGTCTGTACATTCAATTCTGTTATGCAAGCAGCAAGTCTT